TTGTCAAGTACATGGCCTCCAATTCTATGAACTTCTTCACATGCATGGCATAGGAAAGAAATGACATAGAGAGAAGGCATTGATGGGAGTGATATTTTCATTTCTGATGGACCATTATCAGACTGTTCTTGCTTGAGAACTGTCTCTTCCCAACCCTGTAAATATTTAGAATCAGAAGATAAATAAGCTAAACATTTTACAAGCAACATATTTGCATTATATATGCAAACATAAACTAAATTCAATACGTTGCTAGCATAAGAATGAGCACTAAGTTAAGAACCAATCCATACATACTAAACTATTTAAATTAAGCCTTCATTTTAGTGTCAAAAAGTTTAACGATCTTTTTGAAATTTGGGGTTGGGGGATTCAAACTTGAGATTTCTCAAGATCACAGTCTAACCTTTAACTACTGACTGACACTTCATTGGCTAAAGTTTAGTAGCCTAGCCATCTAACAACTATTCCTACAATAGATTTCTCATAAGTAATAATTCTGTTCTTCCTTCAGTTTTCATTTCTTCAGCTGGACCTGATGATAATGAATTGATTTGACATTTCTGTAATACATTGAACAGTCTACTCCCTGGAGAAAATACTGAAGTCAATAGGAGTATAGAATATGATAATTACCATGTTAGAAATCATCATATATAAAAAAGACTGAAGCTAATGGCTAAGAGAGAAATAAAAAAATGAAGTTTCCAGAAATGTTTTCCAATTCAAGTTACTCATAGGTCATAGATGAATTACATAACAGTATCTTTCAACACCCTACGGATAAATAACACTTTGTCACTTGACCAATTTCACAATTATCTCTTTTGTAGAATCTGTATCATTAACTCATGAGATCCACCACAGTCCACAGACAGTGAGGGCAGATTTGGAATTCATTTCAAAATCTACAATTCCTCAGAAAATGAAATTCATTTTGGAGTTGTTGAATTAAATATATATGTATATATATATATACACTGATCCTAGGTTTAAATTCAATCAATTTTGAGAAGAACCTATATTGTTACACTGCATGATTCTTTCATATTATATGATTATAGCTGTTTAACAGACTAGCCTTTTAGTTAGAAACTCTCCAACCAATAGCCATATCCAGGGTAAAACATGTCTTAATTTGAAAAAACTAGAAGAGAAACATCACAGAGAATATTTAAACCAACAATCAAACCCGTATTAGGAAGTGATTCAGGTAGAAGACAATTTTTTGCCCAATTATTGAGTTCATGCAAATCTTGAGATCGATTGTACTAAGATTACAAATAACATCTATGCTTCCGCTTTGTATGAGTCTTTTATTATCCAAGCAGCAGACACAAAATCCTGAAAAGACGGATGCTTAGGGGATAATGAGGCACAAAATTAACTAGCTAATGGCATATATAGAAAAAGAATAAAGCCCATAGTATATAAAATGTATAAAAATAATAAGAACTGTGCAGCAAACACAGCATACCCTCAAGGCAGTTGTTGCAGACAATCCATCATCTTGCCCAAGGTCATGGGAAAGAATAAGCGAAAGCTCCTCAGATAACCATGATATCCAGAGGCTGTGAGCTTTGATGCATAGATCATGTGTTATTCTATTGAGTTCATCAAGTTTAGGGCTTGCAGTTTCCTTTGCTCTGAGCAATGCAGCAGTAGCACATGAAGTTTGCCTTCTAGAACTAGATGTTGTTTGCCTTCTAGGGCTCTCAGAGACAGGGGAATCAATGGAAGCTCTCCTCAATAAGGAAGGCAACCTGTCAAAAGCTGCAGCAAGAGTGTCTTTTGCCCAGAACCTTGGAGAGCCCAGTATTACTGGAATGTGTTTTGAGTGGTTCTGAAATGCAAATAATAGTCGACCAATAAAAAGTGATCTCTCAACAATTGTAGCTGGAGGCACAGACCGACCTTCCTTGCTGTGATTTTCCATGGACACAAACAAATTCTCAAGCTCAGTTCTTCGTTCTGTTAATATGGCTTTCATGCTTTCATAACACTTATTCTGCAGATATGGAGCCAACTCGTTCAACCTAAGAGATGCTTTTGGAGACTCCAGGAAACTCAATAAGTCCTCAAGAATCCTTTGACAGCTACTGTCCACTGCATCTCTAATTCTACTCACTTCAGCACCAAAATAGGCATTGAGACAACCTTGAAGATCATTTTCCTCAGGTAATGCCTTATATCCCAAAGTTGGACCAGGCTTCTTAAAATTATTAGCCTCAATAAACCATACCCCACCACCAGTAGAAGGCCTATTTAGATATGCTTGGAAATCCACTTTTTCACCAGCAGTCACCCCAATGGGAGAAATTGAGCCTGAAACACTTACAGCTCTAGTCAAATCTTCAAAGCCTGAGTCAATAATAATTTTCATCCGCCTAAGAAAAGCATCTTCAAAGATCTCATCCCAAAGGTCTGAATTGTCTTCCAGAACAAGCTCTCTGATCCTACTCCAGGGCAACTCAATCTCAGATCCAAAAACACACTTAAGCCACTCTAAACTCCCTTCCAACACCTCCTTACTGTCCATAGTCTCCCGTAACAACTTTTCAGCAGATCCAAGCTCTTGGCCACTAACAATGGCATTGATCAGATACCCTCCATTAATCTTATTGACAATCTGTCTTCCACAATCCCTCAACCAACTCAAACAAATCTTAGCAATGTACTGTTTATCAAGCATAACCATTGAGGACTCTAATTTATCCCTGAAAGATTTCCACAACCTCACCTCCTCATCAGGATTAGAAATTCCACCAAACAACTGAGAGGCAGGTGGGGAACCCAAGATAACCTTATAAAAGAGAGGCATATCATTCAAGACTTGCAAAAATAACTCTCCTACTTGTCCTACACTAACTTCTACAATACTCAAAACATCACAAAATACTGAAACCACTGCAGAGGAAGTAGCATTACCAGGAAAAGCACTCAATCTCTGCACTATGCAGGTCTTTTTGGTGTCAAGAAATAATGCCAGCACCTGCTTTGGTACCAGCTCATCAATAACTGCAGCTGCAGCCAAGGCATCTGCATAGGCCCCAATTCCCAGGCCTCGATCCAGCAACCTCTCACGACTCCTCTGGGATATCTGAGCCTTGAAGCTCTCAACAATCTGCCATTGGTGCTGAAGCAGAGGGAAATTAGATAATATTTTGCTCTGATCAAAATCACCATTCATGTGCATCAACCTTGAGTGCACATGCTTTGCTTGGATGTACCTGGCAGCTGCTTCCAAGAACATGGACTCATCTAGGCATCCCCAGATGTTCTCCGGAGTATCAACCAGGTACTTGACACGGCATGCAATCCCATAAGTGTG